TTGTACCACACTGGTGTGTGTGTGTGTGTGTGTGTGTGTGTGTGTGTGTGTGTGTGTGTGTGTGTGTGTAATGTGTATGTATGCATATCTGTGTGTGGATATGTGCATATAAGTGCAGATGTACATGAGTGCAGGTGCCTACAGAAGCCAGAGACATTGGACTGCCTGGAAATGGAATTATAGGCAGTTGCAGACTGAACTCAGGCCATCTTAAAGAGTAGTACTCATTTTTAGCTATTGAACCATCTCTCCAGCCATATGTCTGTCTGTATACGTGTATGTATGTATAAGGATATATGCATATGTAAGGATATATATGTAAGTAGATATATGTGTGTGTATGTGTAAGGATATACATATATATATATACACATACATACATACACATATATACATATCCTTAAAACTAAACAAGAAAGAATGTAGACCAAGAGCATTTAAGTGTACCATGCACTGTAGAGGCAGGGAGAAGGTGCTGATTTATTTTTAGGATAGAAGGTAAAGGGGGTTGTACAATCTCTGTGCTCTGCTCTTTTCATAGGAATGAAGATTAACATCTTTGATAAAAAAATTCATACATTTTGGAGGTGGGTGGTAGATTAGAGGAGCCAGGACACTCTGTTGAGGGTATATACCAAGAAGATGAGAAAGATCTCTGTGGCAATGGATCAGGACTAGAAACATCAATCAGAAATTATGTCTAATTTTATACAGATATGATGATTATATGTGTATATCTATTGTGTATGCACATATGGGTTAGCACACGTAATCTTTCTCTGTCAGGTGAGTGGGGCCTTGGAGCAACAAAAAATACTGAGTGCTCAGATCTTAGCTTCTAACAGAGCTTTCTAACACATGGATCAGGGCTTCTTGGAGAAATGATGGGTTTTAGGACTGAGGCAGGAAGCATACCAGAGAAGCCTGGGAATCACACAGTGGTAAAACATGTTAAAAGTCACAGGAGTCAGCTGAAGGACCAAAGAGTAAAACAGTTTGTAAAATGTAATGAATAGAATAATACTGGATTGTAGCCTAAAGCATAAAATAAATACCCATGAGTCTAGACATAAATAAATCATTAAGCAAATTAATAAATGATGAGTACAAAAAAATTTTATAGATGCTCCACTCTGAAGGAGGGGTGTGCCTCCCATTCCCAAGCATGGTATGAGCAATGACTTCCTTCAGAAAGCAAAGGATAAAAAGTCAGGTGACTTTATGGTTGAGGAAGTGACAGACGTGGTGGGATGGCTACTGTTTACTGTTTTTCTGGTAGGCCCTATGATGGAAGTACCCCATGTGATGTAGTGGAAAGGCTTTTAGCCTCTAAGGCCCAGTCACCCAAGTCTAATCACAAGAATGACATCAGAACAATCCAACACCATGGACAGTGCTAGTCAGGCTTCTCCATCAAGGTCATGGGAAACAAACAGATATGACAAACTTTCTTGAACAAGAGGGGCCTGAGAAGATGTGACAACTGAGCTTCCTGTGGGATTTGGGATGACATTCTGGGACAGAAGGAAAGAGTAAAAGCTGAGGAAATGTGAATCAAGAGTGGACTTTAACAATGTGTCAGTCAATGCTGGTTCATTAATTGTGGTAACTTCATGACACCAGTGAAAGATGTCAAAATGAAGAAACTACCTGCTGGTGAGGGCCATACAAATTTGGTTCAACTCCGTAAATCTAAAACTGTTAGAAAAGAGATTATGAAATAATATAAAGGGGGATAGTGAGACGGCTCAATGGGTAAGGATACCTGCCACCAAGCTTGCTGACCTTTGTTCGATCCCCAGAACCCACATAGTGGGAAGAAAGAATGAACTCTGGCAAGCAGTCCTCTGATCTCTATACTCATGCCATGCCCTGTGCCCACCCCCACAAATAACAAATGCAAAGCAACAATAATAACAACAAAAGGAAACAGTAAAATGGAAAATTTGAATGAAATGTCCGGAATAAGCAAAAGGATAGTGACAGAGAATTGACATTGTTATCTGGGGCTGGCTGAGGGTGGTAAGGGTGAAGGCTGACTGCAGCGGGGTGGGTTCTGCTGGAGCACACAATTTCCAATGGACACAACCATACCTATGAGGGCCATAGGCTGATTCTGAGGTTCCAGGAGCCACTCAGTTTTGACTGAGTCTATCAGGAGAGTGGAGAAAGAAGAACGGCTTTCTTTAAGTGAAGATAGACCTATGTGTGTGGTAGAAGATGGCTGGGCAGCAGTTAGGGACAGCATCTACTTTCCTCAAAAGAATAAGTGAGGGCAGGCAGGAAGTGAGCAGTACAGGACACCTGGTGTAGTGGTTTGGATAAGAATGGTCCCCATAGGCTCATAGATTTGAATGTTTAGTCACCAGGGAGAGGTACTAGTTGAGAAGGATTAGGAAGTATGGCCTTGTTAGAGAAAGTGCCTCACTGGGGGTGAGGTTTCAAAAGCCCCAAGCCAGACCCAGCACGGATCTCTTCTCCTGCTACCTGCAGATCCAGATGTAGAACTCTCAGTTAATTCTCCAGCCCCATGTCTGCCTGTGTGCCTCCATGCTCCCTGTCATGATGATAATGGACAAAACCTCTGTAACTGTAGGCCAGCCCCAATTAAATGTTTTCTTTCCTAAGAGTTGCCATGGTCATGGTGTCTCTTCACGGCAATAAAACACTGACTAAGACATCTGGGATAGGGGATGGAGAGAACAGGCCTCTGTAGCTGTGTGAGAGCCATGTGGGGATGAATGTATGTGTATGTATGTAGGTATGAGTTGTATCTGAAATGCACATGGTGATGTGTATTTGATGGTGTGGAGCAGACAACAAGTATATAGTGCATGGTGTGTGGCTCTGTGCTGTGTGTGCTGTGGTGAATTGTGGGTGGCTTATCTCTGGGGTGTGTGCATCTGTTTTGTGTGTTGTGTTGTATATATATATATATATATATATATATATATATATATATATATATATATATATATCACTGTTGTGGGTTACGGGTTATGTGGTGGGTATGGAGGAGAAAGGAATACTCCTTTCTCTACTTTTTCTTCTGACAGTACAATGAGGATTGAGACCTATAAATGACCACTTACCTCTGTGGCGCCTCCAACAAGCCCATTGTTCCCTCACTTTCCTTTCCCATCAGCCCATCATCATTTCCCCTCTCTGAACTATTCTCAGGGCTCCACCTGTTTCATCCCATATGCCCCTCCCATCCCCGAATGGTCTGGGCTTCTTGCCTCCAGTCCTGACTCCTCCAGACAGTCTACCTCACTGGTTTTGCCATCCCCACAGTCCTTTGATAGCCCAACTAGTCCTGACTCTCTGCTCTGCTGCCCTTGCCCCACTCCAGCTCTTTTGTGGTCTAGTTGAGGTTTCAGTTCCTCCTGTGACAGGCCTTGTTTCCCTGCCTCACTCTTCTCTCTCAGCCTCACTCTTCTCCTCTCCCCTCAGTGTCATACCTGGGTACTTTCTGCAAAGGTCCAGCCATAATTGAAAGGACCCTGGGCGTTTTTTCTCCCTGGGTTTTTGTCCTGTACCCCCATATAGGCCATAAGTTTGGTAGACCAATGGATCCAGGCTCTGCCTTGAACCTGAAGTATCTGTACCAGAGATCTCTTGACAAGTGACCAGTACCACATGGCGACAAGCCATCAAGATGATCTCAGTGGTCCCCAACCCTGGCTCTGACTCTCTTCTCTGACATTTTCACATTTCTATATTTGGTAGCCAAAGTATGGCAGCACTCACAGGCAGAACAAGAAGTTTGGAAAACACAAAGTAACTTGCCATCTAACATTTCCCCAAAGCCTTGTGTATAGCTGACTTTCCTAGCTTTAGGCACAGAATGTGCTACCACCCATTCAAGATAGTTCCCTTCCTCTCCTCTCCTCTCCTCTTCTTCCTCTTCTTCTCCCCCCCCCCCCGTCCACTCTTCCCTCCCTCCCTGGCCCCCTTTCTTTGAGACAAGGTCTTGCTATGTATCCCAGGCTATCCTTAAACTTGTGATTGCCCTGTGTGGTGGTTTGAATAAGAATGGTCCCCATAGGCTCATATATTTGAAAGCCTGGTCATCAGGGAGTGGCACTGTTAGGAGGTGTGGTCTTGTTGGAAGAAGTATGCCACTGGGGGTGGGCTTTGAGGTTTCAGAAGCCCAAGCCAGGCCCAGTATGGCTCTCTCATCCTGCTGCCTTTGGATGCAGATGTAGAACCTTCTATTTCTCTAGTACCATGCCTACCTGCGTGCTACCATGCTTTCCCTCATGATGACAATGAGCTAAAACTCTGAAACTGTAAGCAAGCCCCAGCAAAATGCTTTCCTTTATAAGAGATGCTGTGGTCATGGTGTATCTTCACAGCAATAGAACACTGATTAAGACACCCTGCCTCTGACTCATGAGTGCTAGGATATAGACATGCATTGTCACACCCAGCTCGTTTGGGATTTCTTGAAGGCTCCAACAGGCTGAGACTCAGGTAGGAGAACTTTGCCTTGAGACCTCATCTGAACTCTTGTGCTGTAGCCTATGGCACATTGATATGTGTTTCAAAACCCCAGCACACTGACCCTGTTGGACACTCAAGTTTCTATCACATGCAAAGTAAACAGATTCCAGATTCTCTGTCAGGCCCAATCCCATAAGGAGATTCTGTGCTTAGTTAATTTACAATTTACTCTGGTTCCTCCAAAGGTTTGCATCAGTATCTGAGAAGAGTGGAGCCTGTCTGTGGTTCTGCATGAAGCTGTACCTACTAGGCCACTTATAGGAATGAGCAGAGGACCTTTCCAGTTTCTGCCTCATAATCTGACTGCCTACGTGAGCACAGCATCCCTGCCCTTACTCAGTTTTGTATGGGCAATGACATGGATAGGAACATCTGGACCTGTTAGGACAGAATCATGCTTTGATTAGACAGCACAGTGTCTTGGCCATTTGTGAAGAGAAAACTGCTTAGAAGGGTGGAAGGCTGGGGAAGGACCAGTCAGGGCATACAGGTACCTGGCCTCTGCGTGTCTCACAGTTGTGGAGGTAGCTTAGGTGATAGATCTTCAGGTTTAATGTAGCAAAATTCAGGTACTTTGTGAAAACCTGAAAGAGCAATCATAACAGCCTTAGTCAGAAATCCAGATGTTCAAGGACATATGTACAGAAAAGAGACATACCTCAAAGATCCTGGAGGAACTGCCACATACATACAAGCATACTAGTAGGCTGTACTTATCACTCATGGGTGTGGACTTACACACACAAGCTCAGTCCTGTGGGGCAGGGACATGGCTCACACACAAAGACATGCAGAGGGACATGACTCATACACAACAAGAAGAACAGCTGGAGTGTAGCTCACACACTCAGATAAACAGAAACACCTGATTTGAAGGACATGGCTTATACATCTGGATGAGCACAGCTCACACACTCAGATTAGCAGAGGGACATGAATCAGACCAAAATTTGTCAAAGGATGTGGCTCACATAACCACATGAATAGAGACAGTGACATGCAGATGAGCAAAAGCATGCTGGGAGGTAGGACATACACAGACACACGGAGCAAACACATCTCCTGGACACTCACATCTTCATCTTCACTTGTGAAGCATGGGGCATCCAGCTTATTCACTGCCATGATCACAGCCACGACATCTTTGCCATTCATGATTGGTGTGGACAGAATGTTCCTTGTCACATAGTCAGTGAGCTCGTCAGCGAAGGAGCTGAAGTGGGGACACTGTCGCGAGAGGAGGGAGGTTATTGATGTGCTTTGCAGTCCGGCCCTCTTAGATCTTTACACAGGGGCTAAGTTCTAGAAGGTCACAGTTTACAATGTACTACAGTGTCCAGTAGCCCTACCTCTGAATTCAGGACACAGTCTCTGGGCAAACAGAGTTCAGCCAGGTTCTAAGGTTCTTCCTAGTTCACCTCACCGCTGATTCCTAAGAAGTCTCCCAAGGTTTCCTCCCAAAGAGCCCCTACAAGGTCCTCTAGCACTATCCACTTTTGGGCAAAGTTGGTCTCCTGGATGCTCAAGTCTACCCAATGCCTACCTTCAGACTTCTAGCCCAGGTGACTGTCTCCTTCTACCTCCAGCCCCCTCCAAACCTGCTGTACATTCTTCCTGGAAAGATAACTATGATTGAATGAAGGATGGACTCTGTTGTGATTGGTGGCTTGTCATGGCACAGTATCACTAAGACATATATGGCTGGGGAGCTGGAGTTGAGAGTTTCCTGTATCTTGGGGTCTGTCCACCAGCCCTGCACTCAAGCTCTGTTCCACAGACCACTATCCACCATGAGACTCTATTTGTGATATGGTGAGTTTTGCCTATTTCTGGGCTCAGGGAAGATTCAAAGAGGGCTCAGGGAGAACTCCTACATCTACTAACCCAAAGATGTAAGAGGAATCCTGCTTCTGGAGTTAGTTCTACCCCTGAAAGGAATGGATCATTTGAACCGGGCTCAAGGTACCAAGTTAGAACCAGGCACTCCTAACAGAAATGCCTCTGCCTCGTTCTCTGCTTTCTGGTTATTTATATGAGGCTACAGTACCCTGGCACAGTGACAGAAGTGAATGAATGTCTGTGACTTTAGCCCCCCTTTAGGGTCTGTCCTGGAAAGCTAGAGCAGCTTATGTCCCTCCCATTCCTCTCCAGCGGATGACGGACTACTATCAATACTTTTGACATCTATCACCCCACCTTTGACTGTTAACAGAGATTCTCTTAGACGGACCTAGGACCATATCTTGCAGCCCTTGTGATTTGCTATAATTCTCCATCGCTGAGCCCCATGAGCAGCTTGAGAAGTTCCCTGCTGGCATTCTATTTCTTGGTTGTAAGTTAGCCAGGCCAGTTTTCGCTAAAGGTGTTCAGAAGGAGGCTGCTAGGAGCCTGGAGCTTGGGCGATCCTCCCAATGGGGTGGAGGTGGCTGGAGCCAACTCTTCCCCCTCCTTGGAGAAGCCACTGCCACCTGGCTGCCAAGTGGCACCAAGCTGGAGGTAAATCAGCATATGAATGACAGCGGAGAAGAAAGGTGAGCAGCAAGTCCTGACAGAGGTGACATTACTGAGATTGACACTCACATCTTGTCATAGAAGATAACTAACTTTTTCTGGCTAAATTGTAGCTACATGGCTTTGGTCATGTGGAAATGAAATGGTGAATCCTCCCAAGGAAGAAATTTGCCTGGGTACCCTTTTCTCTGAGCATATCCTGAGACATTGTATACCTGGTGATTTGGACATGCCTATCTCCTGACTAACCATTAGTGCTAGAGGCTAATCCTGATCTTCAGGTTGCTTCTAGAAGCAGGCATACTGAAGCGTTTCTGCACAGAGCAAGAAATTACTGTAGCATGAATCTTAAAAGTTCTTATTAATAAAGTCAAATCTGAAGCCAGTTATTGGGGTGAACACTGGATGATCAGAGAGACAGAACAAGCCACAGCTATCTCACCTTGCCAATTCCTCAGTTGGTCCTGTTTCCTCAGACTGGAAGCTTCTGTGTCCTCATCCCAACGGCTCTCAGCTGAACTGCTGCTAGAAGCCTGAATGCTTAACCAGCCAAATGCTTAACCAGGCAAATGCTTCTAGTTTCTGGTCCTTACGCCTTATAAACCTTTCTGCTTTCTACCACCACTCCCTGGGATTAAAGGCTGCTTTCTGGGATTAAAGGCGTGAGTCACCATGCCTGGCTGTTTCCAATGCAGCCTTGAACTCACAGAGATCCAGAGGGATTTCTACCTCTGGAGTGCTAGGATTAAAGTCATGAGTGCCACCATTTTCTAGCCTCTGTATCTAGTGGCTGTCTGTTCTCTGACCCCAGATAAGTTTATTAAAGTACACAATATTTTGGGGAACACAATACCACCATAGATTACCTTCAGATGATATACACAGATCTTTACATTGACCCTCATATGATGCACACAGGTCCACACTTGACCTTTATATGATCCAGAGATACACATACTTGATCCTCAGATGGTTCACACAGGTCCACATAGTTGACTCTTAGATCAGTGGTTCTCAACCTGTGGCTCGTGAACCCTTTGGGGGTCAAATGACCCTCTCATAGGGGTTGCATATCAGATATCCTGCATATCAGATGTTTACATTACAATTCATAACAGTGGCAAAATTAGTTATGAAGTAGCAATGAAAATAATTTACAGTTGGGGTTGCCACAACATGAGGAGTATTAAAGGGTCACAGCATCAGGAAGGTTAGGAACCACTGATACAGGTGAAGCACACTTGACCCACAAATGAGGCACAGAGGTTTGCCAATGTGACTCGGGATGTGCAAGGCACACAGCCCATACTAGGTGGTTGTCTTAGTTAGGCTTTCTATTGATGTGATGAAACACCATGACCAAAAGCAAGTTGGGGAGGAAAAGGTTTATTTGGCTTACACTTCCACATTGCTGTTCATTATTGATGGAAGTCAGGACAGGAACTCAAACAGGCCAAGAACCCTGAGTCAGGAGCTGATGCAGAGGCCATGGGTGAGTGCTGTTTACTGGCTTGCTTCCCCTGGGCTTGCTCAGCCTGCTTTCTTATAGAATCCAGGACCACCAGCCCAGGGATGGCATGGCCCACCAGGGGCTGGGCCCTCCCCCATTGATCACTAATTGAGAAAATACAGCTGGATCTCATGGAACCATTTCCTCAGCTGAGGCTCCTTCCTCTCTGATGACTCTAGCTTGTGTCAAGTTGACACAAAACCAGCTAGCACTGTGGTCGTCTAGTTTTCTTTTCTTACTGGCTTTATTTCCGCCACATTTCTCCCCACATCTGAGACCTCACTTTAGCACCCGTTTTATCCATACACCGTATAAGCCCCATTTTGCAAACAAAACCACAGAATATCCTGGGATCTCCCTGGGATTTCTCTTGGCCTCGCCTCCACCAAGGAACCTCACTCTATTCATTGCTCTCCCTCTGCATTTCCTTCCCCTGCTGGGAATTAAATATGATCAAGGCTGTGGTTTTAAAACGCTCTCCTTGTTACTTAGCCTCTCTGGGTCTGTGGATCCTATCATAATTATCTTTTACTTTACAGCTAATGTCCACTTGTAAGTGAGTACATACCACGTTTCTGGGTTTGGGTTACCTCACTCAGGATGATTTTTCTAGTTCCATCCATTTGCCTGCAAATGTCATGATGTCATTGTTTTTAACAGTTGAGTAGTACTCTATTGTGTAATCATTTAAAAATCCTAAGAGATGGACACTAATAGTTACATATGCTTATGAGTATTGGAAAGTTTTACTTGTTATATAAAATAATGGATATTTATCACTATTAAAGTAAAATATACAATATGTAAATAGTTCAAAAAATGATGTGTCTATATAATAGTTTTAGAAATATTGATGAAATATTGTTAAAATGAAATATTAAATAACACAGTAATTTACCTACTACTTACCAGTATGTGACAATTTCAAATAAAATATTTTTTTTCTCTTTTGGTTTTTTTGAGCAAGGTTTTCTCTGTGTAGCTTTGCGTCTTTCCTGGAACTCACTCTGTAGCCCCAGGCTTGGCCTCGAACTCACAGAGATCCACCTGCCTCTGCCTCCCAGTGCTGGGACTAAAGGCATGCGCCACCACCGTCCAGCTTCAAATAAAATATTGAATTGAGTAATTTCTCATATTACTTGTGTGCATTCATCAAATAAAGCATGTAAATAATTTAAAAATAATTAATTCAAATAAACAAACAAATAAATAAATAAAATGCTCTCAAATCCCTTTAATCTGTCATGCCCTCTTCTCTGTGGCATCTATCTGCCTTCCTGGATTCCCTGCCTTCTTGACCAGGTTCCCAGTCTTCTTATCCATGTCTCATGTTGGTTCCAGTAATACAGTCACTATCTTTATATTGAAGTAACCTGCTCCAGCCTCACCAGTCTCTCAGATATCAAATATTTTTCCCACTCAGGATACTGCTCTGGGGTCTTCACCTCATAGCCTACACCCACAGAATCCTGGTATCTTTATGGGTTTCTCATGATCCTCATAAGACAAGAATCTTAAGAAAAAAAGTAAAGAAGTGCTAGGGTCCAGGGTCAGAGGTCAGAAAGAAACAGGGCTTGTCCATCATGGCAGATTTGGCTATATCTGCGTCTCTCTGAGAAGCTGGTGTTAAGTGAGGTTGGGGTACAGATACCTGGGGATATCTATGCCAAGTCTGGCTAGCATTTTCTCTTTTGATCTTCCCTCTATGAACCCACAAGTGAGACAAGAATATAGCGATCCCTGGGACAAGCCTCCTTCTAGCCTTAAGCATAATACTCCCTCATAGCCCAATTTCTACCTTTCCTTGATTTCCATCACCCTGCCGTTCAAGCCCATGTTTCAGTCAGTCAGGGATGCCATGGCTTTGGTTGGGCTTTCAGATGACTCCGGTAGCCCTTTAGCCCAGCCTGATCCTACACCTCCTGTAATGATAGCGCCCAAGGTCCCCATGTAGATGGTGTCCCCTTTGACTTCACCCACGGATGCAAATCTTTTCTGTGTATGTGATGTAAATGTACATTCCGCACTGAAGATTGACATGCAGCCTGCAGCTTCCAGCCTTCCTCCCTGTCCTCCTTTTGTCTCCAAGAGCTTCTAGAGGTTTTTGTCTGCCTTTCTCTCCACTCCACTGTCCACTTAGGGCTTCTCTGCTCCCCATGACCTCCTGCTCAGAATATTTGATAGCCTCAAAAGTGGGTAAAGTTGG